TAAAGAATATTTACATACTCCTAATAGAAATCAGTATACATATAACTTGGTTACTCTAGTTATTTGACTTCAATCCTCCTTTGAAAACCTTGCAAGCCATAAAAATGGAAATCCTATGGTAATTAATTGTAATAGTAAAATAAAATTTATATTGGTGGGTTAAAATTCTATGTGAGCAGTACCTTACCTTTACACATTCATTAAGAACGGGGTAAAATTATCTGATCCTTTGCCTAGTTCTCTTATACTCTTTAAATTACTTTTTAAGCCTGCCAAATATGACAGGATCATGATAAGAAAATGACATGTTATAGAACAATTTCATAGTTTAATAGCTTTGTTATAATATTACTTTCATCAAGAAGATTATTCCTGACATAGAACATATCTAATAATCTATTTATGATTTTGCTTTCATGTATTACCTGAACTAGGTCATTAGAAAATAGTACTTGCAAGGCCATTATTTTGATTCATTTAACTTAACCTTTGAATATACCAACAATGTTTGGAGTTTCTCTCATCAGTAGACGACTGTCTTCTATATTTCTGCATTTTAAAAAGTAATGTCTCATTTCTAAATAGTAAATGTTTTGTAACTTTCAAAAAGAGAGTAACACCCAAATTATATAATTCACTTAGAAAAGGGGAACTTTAAAAGCAATTTGAGAAGGAAAACGTAGGCTTTTGAAATAATTTGTATTTTTTTTTTCTCAGCTGCAAATAACTCAAGATGCCGGTTGCTAAAATGCACGAATTAATGAAAAAACAAATGAGTAGGTCTCAGTAGATAGACAGCTAGATAATTTAGATAGACAGCAATGTTATTAAATTGATTGTTTCAACAAGTCAATATAGAATTGCAAATTTCCCCGTTTCATCAATAACAAGTGGTTGTAACGTAATACACAGGCTTAATGAGTTCTCCAACTGTTAAATCCAAGCGGACTCACCTGAGTAACAGTGCTGCTTCCCAGAAGTAAAATCCCGAAACTAATGTCCGAAAGTGTCTCACGTGGGCCATGATACGGAGAGATATTCACGATCCTGAAAATAGTCTTATCCAAGGCATGGGGAACCAGAAAGACAGAATGAAAATGTGCAATCTAACTCCGCATGGTGTTGGTGTAGACTGATGCTTGGGAAGCTTCAGCACCTTAGACAGCTCCCTGCAGTATGCGGACCCCTTCTCAGCATTGAGCAGAAGGGGAGAGTCACAGGGTTATAAATGTGCAGGTGATTTTTAGAGTGAAATTACAAAAATGAGTGAGATGAAATGTCTGAAGTGCCTAGGTGCTGGGCAACAATCCTCTAAAGCTCCAGCAGCAAAGGAAGAGTGTTCGTCCTTCCCTGACTGAGACCCAGGATTGGAGGAAGAAGAGCAGCAACAGCGGGAAAGAGGATGCCTCTCCACCTGCTCCAAGCGCCGCCCGCTGGAATCCCGCTCTCCACCTTGGGCTAAAACCCGAGATCTGGAGCGCGGCAAAGGGAAGGGGGGGGTGGGGCCGGACGACCCGTCCTGCTGGCCAATCACGACCGCACAGCGGGACGGAGTGACAGGCCACTTACGACGGTAGGCGGGGCTTAGCATTTCACCCTTTAACAAAACCCAAACAAACCAAAAGGCGACTGGAGCGAGGTGGGCGGAAAAAGCCACAGGGAAAAGTCAGCGATTTTGTGATTTAGGTAGTATAACCCCGCGGGAGGGACCCTCTAGTATTCCCTTCCGGGAAAAGACACACTTCAGGTCTTTT